CAACCAGGAAAGAACATATGTTTAATAAAAAGATAACATATGGAGCAGTTACCCACAGGACCTGTAGGGTGCTGAAGCACCAGAAAGCACTGTGCGACCCAGCAGGGACTGTGCAATCTAGTTACCCACAGGGCCAGTGGGGTGCTGAAGCACCAGAGAGGCCTGTACTACCCAGCAGCCCATAACATAGGCATAGAGCCCGGTCTCCAAAGGGACTGTGTGATCCAGTTACCGGTGGAACATGCAGGGTGCTGGGGTGCCAGGAACGCCTGTGCAACCCAGCTGCACACAAGATAGGCTTAGAGGATGTGAAAATGGAGGTGGAGTGAAGAGAGCTACAAAGACAATCTCCCAGGACCAAACGGGACTTACAACTAAATAAAGACAAATCCTTGGAAAAAAGCAACAGAAAAGCAGGCCAGGACCATATAACCTGGGACACTGGTAGGATCTATGGTGCGAGAGGGTGGTGGGGTGGGAGCCCAGGGACAGCAGCAGTCTTAGATGTGAGCAGCACCCTTGGGAAATAAAGACCAAGCCCGCTCCACAGCTCAGAGAGCCAGGACAGAGCACTAAAATAGCCATAGCCACTCACCTTGGGGCTACTGCAGAGAGAGGGCAGACTGGGCTGAAACTCTGTGGGGACACCCGGGATTTCGAGGGCACTCAGAGTTTTTGCTGAGTTGCGGCCACAAAGGACGGTGCCCAGTGTGCTCCTTCCCTGAGCTGTGGAAAAAAGCAGCAGTCCCCCCCCCCCCTCAGACATTCAACCTTTCCCAGGTGAGGCAAAGAAATGAAAATTGAGGCTCATTAACAACCAGCATCTATCCTAACCTCTGGAAATCCTCTTATGCAGAACACCAGGGCTACATTCCAAGGCACTGAGTAACTGAGACTACTAGCCACCAGGAAAAAGCTAGAGGATAAATGAACCTTTCCTGGGCTTGCAAATCTACCCAGGAAAGTAAGACTTGACAGTGGTGTTTAACGTGGGCCCACCCAGGTTCATCCAAACTCAGTACAGGAAGCTACAAACAGCAGAACACCGACACCCACAGGAAAAATTAGCAGGCTTCAAAACCCACTGATTTAGCCAAAATGGTGAAACAAAGAAACAAATCCCAAATGAAAGAACAAGAGAACTCTATCAAAGATAAGATCAATAAATGCAGCTAAGCAAATTATCAGACGTAGAGTTCAGAGCCATGATCTTGAGTAACCATGAGTAAAGATATAAAATCACTGAAAACCAACCAAGTGGAAATGAAGAATGACAAAGCAGAAATAAAGAACACATTGGAAGGACTAATCAGCAGAGTAGAGGAAACTGAGGACTGGATGAGTGAATTAGAAGACAGGGTAGAAAAAAATGAACCAATCAGAAAACAAAAGAAAAAAATAATTTAAAAACAGGAAGATAGCTTAAGAGAACTGTGGAACAACTGGAAACGTAATTACATTCGCATCATAGGAGTCCCCAAGAGGAAGAAAATGGGAAAGGGTTAGAGAATATATTTGAACAAATAGTGACAGAAAACTTTCCTAACTTGGAGAAGGAAGAAGGCATTCAAGTTTAAGAAGCACAGAGAGCCCCAAGTAAGAAGAACCCAAAGAGGCCCACACCAAGACACATAGTAATTAAAATGCCAAAAATTAAAGACAAAGAGAGAATCCTAAAGGCAGCAAGAGATAAGCAACAGGTTACCTTCAAAGGAAATTCCATAAAGCTCTCAGCTGACTTCTTAACAGAAACACTATAGGCCAGAAGGGAATGGCATGAAGTAATCAAGGTCATGAAAAACAAGGATCTGAATCCAAGACTACTCTATCCAGCAAGGCTATCATTCAAAATAGAAGGTCAAGTAAAGAGCTTTCCAGACAAAAAAAAAACCGGCTAACGGAATATATTAACACTAAATCAGCACTGCAAGATATGCTAAAAGGACTGCTGTAATTAGTAGAATAAATAGGAAGAAAAATATAACCACACTAAACAAAAATGGCAATAAATAAGTACGTATCACTTATCACCTTAAATGTGAATGGTTTGAAAGCTCCGATAAAAAGACACAGATTAGTTAACTAGATAAGAAAGCATGACTCACATATATGTTGTTTACAAGTAACCCACCTCACAACAAAAGGCTCACATAGGTTGAAAGTGAAGGGATGGAGAAAAATTTTTCAAGCAAGTGGAAAGCACAAAAAAAGCTGGGGTAGCAATACTCATACCTGATAAAGTAGATTTCAAAATGAAGACCATACCTAGAGACAAAGAAGGCCACTACATAATATTGAAAAGATCTATCCAACAGGAAGAGATAACCTTGGTAAATATATATGCACCCAATATAGGAGCACCAACATAAATTAAAAATATTTTGGAGGACTTCAAAGCAACAGCAATACAATAATAGCAGGGGACTTCAACACCCTGCTGACATCACTGGATAGATCTTCTAGACAAAAAATTAACAAGGAAACACAGACTCTAAATGAAGCGCTAGATCAAATGGATTTCATAGATGTCTACAGAGAATTACACCCTAAAACTGCAGAATTCACATTCTTCTCAAGTGCACCTGGGACATTCTCAAAGATAGACCACATGGTAGGACACAAACTAAGTCTCTACAAGTTCAAGAAGATTGAAATCATATCAAGCAACTTCTCCGATCACAATGGCATGAAACTAGAAATCAATTGCAACAAGAACATGCAAAGAAATTTGAAAACATGGAGGCTAAATAGCATGTTGTTGAACAATGAATGGGTTACTATGGAGATCAAGGAAGAAATAAAAAACTCCCTGGAAAACAATGAAAATGAACACAAAACAACACAAAATCTATGGGATGCAGCAAAAGCAGTTCTGAGAGGGAAGTTCATAGCAATACAGGCCTACCTCAAGAAGCAAGAAAAATTTCTAACACTATTTAACCTCACAACTTAAAGAGCTAGAAAGCAAACAAAAAGAAAACCCCAGAGCAAATAGAAGGAAGGAAATAGTAACAATCAGAGCAGAAATAAATGACATGGAGACCAAAAAAACAATTCAAAGGCTCAATGAAACATAGAGCTGGTTCTTTGAAAAGATAAACGAGATTGATGGACCCTTAGTTAGACCCACCAAGAAACAAAGAGAACCCAAATACACAAAATCAGAAATGAAAGAGGAGAAATAATAACTGACACCACAGCAATACAATGGATTGTTAACAACGACTATGAACAATTATATGGTAACAAATTCGACAATCTAAGTAAAATGGACAAATTTCTAGAAACACATAGTTTCCCAAAACTGAACTGGGAAGAGATAGAAAACTTGAACAGACCAATAACAACAGAAGAAATTGAAGATGTAATCAAGATTTTCCCAGCAAACAAAAGCCCAGGCCCGGATGGCTTCAAGGGGGAGTTTTACCAAACATTCAAAGAAGAACTAACACCCATTCTCCTCAAACTATTTCAAAAAATTTAAGAAGAAGGAAGACTTCCAAACTCGTTTTATGAAGCCAGAATAATTTTAATTCCAAAACCAGAAAAAGACACTACAAAGAAAGAAAACTACAGGCCAATACCCCTGATGAACATAGATGCCAAAAATCCTGAACAAAATACTAGCAAATCGAATCCAACAATACATCAAAAAAATTATTCACCATGACCAAGTGGGATTCATCCCAGGGATACAAGGATGGTACAATATTTGCAAATCAATAAATGTGATACACACATAAACAAAATGAAAGATAAAAATCATATGATCATATCAATAGACGCTGAAAAAGCATTTGACAAAATCCAGCACCCATTTCTAATAAAAACGCTCAGCAATCTGGGAATAGAGAGATCAATCATATCTTGACATAATAAAGGCCATATATGAAAGACCTACAGCCAACATCATATGCAATGGGCAAAAATTAAAAGCATTTCCCTTAAGAACAGGAACAAGACAAGGATGCCCACTTTTACCACTCATTTAACATAGTACTGGAAGTCTTAGCCACAGCAATCTGACAGGAAGAAAAAATAAAAGTGATACAAATTGAAAAGGAGGACGTGAAACTCATTATTCGCAGATGAAATAATACTATACCTAGAAAACCCCAGAGACTCCATCAAAAATTTACTAGACTTAATAAGTTATTTTGGCAAAGTAGCAGGGTACAAAATTAACATCAAGAAATCGATGGCATTCTTATACACCAATGATGAACTCACAGAAAGAGAAACTAAAAAAACAATCCCGTTTACTATCGTGGCAAAAAAAATTAAGATGCCTTGGAATAAACTTAACCAAAGAAATAAAGGACTTATTCACAGAAAACTACAGGTCATTGAAGAAAGAAATAGAGGAAGATATATGAAAGTGGAAGCACATACCTTGTTCATGGATTGGGAGAATTAACATCATTAAAATGTCCAGGCTACCCAAAGCAATCTATAGATTCAATGCAATCCCCATCAAACAAAATACCAATGACATACTTCACAGAACTAGAACAAATGTTTCAAGAGTTCATATGGAACCAAAAAAGAAAGGAATACATGCAATCCAGGACAGTAGATTCAACTCAAGAAAATAAGGAAGTTCCATAGTAAGCTCTGCAATATCCTAGAAGAACATGCAGTAGAGGTCTGAATAGATTTATGTGGGCGTCAGAAATATTTTACTTGAAGGAAAAAATACATGAGATTTGATGTGATAATGTCTGTGATTTTTTTTGACAAATTAGACAAGGACATAAAAACAATTATTAGTAGAATTTGAAATTATACATGTGTTTGCATTGTTATTTATAACCCTAACTCACAGTTTAGTGTTGTTTCTTATTTTCAACATTCATTGTATTTAATATTTCCCACATGCATTTGCGATATTATTTTAATTGATCTTTCCAGAAAAAATCATAAAAATAAATGTAAGAAACAAGAATTTGTATTTGGATAGATAAGAAATAATACATACAGTGATCCTAATTTTTTTTTTTTTTAATATGGAATGCTTCACGAATTTGCATGGCATCCTTGCATAGAAGCCAAGCTCATCTTCTCTGTATCATTCCAATTCTAGTATATAAGCTGCCAAATTGAGCACAAGAATCCTAATTCTATCATCTGGTAGAAGAGAATTAATATAGTAAAAAATAATGATTCAGTCTTCTTAGTAACTGTATAATTATTTAATAATTATTTTATTTTTTTGTGAACAAAGTAAGCTAATGTCTAACAATTCTTTTTTTATATATTTATTTTTTATATTTATTTTTGTTTCTCCTATAAAATTGAAGTTACACTTAATACCATCTATTAAGACCATTTGACTGGGACAGTTCTGATTCCACTGTAGTCATATAAAACCAGCACAGCCCATTATTCCTGATGATTGCAACTAACAATTAGGAACCCAAGATTATAAACAACTAACTGATTTAACAAATGAGTAAAGGCAGTGTCTTGGTCCTTTGGGGCCATTATAACACAATACCATAGACTAGGTAGCTATATACAGAAATTTCTTTCTTATAGTTCTGCAGGCTGAAATGTCAAGATCAGGGTGCCAGTAGGCTCCAGTAAGAACTCTCCTCCACCTGGCCGGTTTGGCTCAGAGGTTAGAGCATTGGCCTGCTGTCCAGAGAGACCTGGGTTCAGTTCCCACTAAGGGCACGTACCTCGGTTGCAGTTTGTCCTCGGCCCTGGTTGGTCATGAGGGTGGCAGCCACTCGATGTGTCCCTTTCACATCGATGTTTCTCTTTCTCTCTTCCTCTCTTCCTCTCTCTCCCTCCCACTCTATCTGAACAAAAAATGAAAAAAATGTCCTCGGGTGAGGATTAAAAAAAAAGAACTCTCCTCTAGTCACAGACTGTAGATTACTTTGTTTGTGCCCTGAAATGGTTGAAGGGGCCTAGCAAGCTCTCAGGGCCTTTTTGATCAAGGTACTAATCCCATTCATTATGGCTTCACCCTCTTGAACTAAGCAAATACAGAAAGGCCCACTTCCTAAGGGCATCTTAACAAGCACTGTGAGGATTTCAACACATGAAATTTGAGGAAACAAAATATTTAGACCGTAGCAGCCAGATTGTGGAGAGGAGGCAAACTCTGTGAAGTTGACCTACATAATAGCAAATGTCTTGCTTTGTTTGTTTGTTTTTTTCTCTTTTATTCATGCTTGGAAAATTGGTGCTAGTTAAGGGTGTAACCCAAGGTTGTCCTTAAGAATTGAAAAAAATAGAGCATAGTAATATCAAAGTATGAAGAATGAAATTAGCAAGATTAAAAAACAAGTGGATAATATTTAGAAATAACAGAACCAAACACTGACTTGTTAAAAGATAAAACCATATTGGTAGATAGACTGGAAAAAGAGAAGGGACACAAATTATCTACTCAAGAATTATTTTTTTTAATAAATTATTTTTTATCCTCACCCAAGGACATTTTTGCATTTATCTTCAGATAGAGTGGGAAGGAGAGAGGGTGGGAGAGAGAAAGAGAAACATCGATGTGAGAGAGACACATCGACTGCCACCCACACGACCCCAGCAAGGACTGGGGACAAACTGCCACCACAGTATGTGCCCTTAATGGGAGCCCAACCCAGGACTTTCTTGTCTGCAGGTCGGTGCTCCAACCGCTGAGCAAAACTGACCAGGGCTCAACTCCAGAATTACTAATTGCCATCAAGACAGAGCCTCTGTCATTTGTAGAATAATAAGATAATTCAATGAATAACATTCTGCCATGAAATTCTTGGGGAAAAAAAGAAACAGAAAATATTATTATTATTGTTTTTATCCTCAGCCGAGGACATTTTTCATTTTTTGTTCAGATAGAGTGGGAGGGACAGAGAGAGAGAGAGAGAAACATTGAAGTGAAAGGGACACATCAAGTGGCCGCCACCCACACAACCCAAACAGGGCCGGGGACAAACTGCAACTGAGGTACATGTCTTTAACGGGAACCGAACCCGGGGCTCTCTGGACCACATGCCGATGCTCTAACCGCTGAGCCAAACCTGCCAGGGCAGAAAATATTAATTTTTTAATGTTATTTATCAAATTAAATGTGCTAAAAATTTTCCCATAAAGAAACTTTCAAGCCAAGATTGTTGTATTAATAAATTCTACCAAACACTAAATAACAGATATATCTCCATTATTAACCAAATTTTTCAGAAAATGAAAGAATAGAGATGACATTCACCTAAACTATTTTATGGAATTATATTAATACCAGTGCACAGTGACAATATAAAAGAGGAAAATTATAGACTAATAACCCTTGTCAGTATAAACAACAATATCCTTAATGGAATAGTAAGAAATTAAATTAAAAAATATTTAAATGATTAGTACATTATAACCAAATAAAGTTGATCCTTGGAAAGCAAGGTTTGTGTGTCATTACAAGTCAATGTAATTTACCATATCAACAGAATAAGAGAGGAATACCATATGATCATTTCAACAGATGCAAAACACGCATGGGAAACATCCAAAAGCCATTTGTGCTTTTTTTAAATCAGCAAAAAAGGAATACTATAAATCTTTCTCAAATTGATAAAAGACATTTATTTAAAAATTCTACAGCGAATAATAGTTAAATATGTAATGATTTATTTTTGAGATTTTGAACAGAAAAATATTTTTATTTTTATTGTGTCTCAGTAGCATCGTACGAGGTCTCAGCAATTACAATAATGCAACAAGTAAAAGAAAGTAGAAAGTCATGAATATGGGAATGATGTAGTAAAGGTGTTCATATGTGATTACAATATAATTGCTTATTTAGAATATACAAAATTTTTACAATGACAGTAAGAACAAATAAGTGAATTTAGAAAAAAAAGCTGGATACAAGATTAATATAAAATAAGTCATATTCTTATATACTGTTAGAAAAAATTAGAAAATATAATTTAAAACAATTACAACAATATAATTTAAAACAATGTACAACAGTGAAATAATTTATCTGTGACTACATTTAACAGATGTCGAACACATCTAGAGTAAAAACTACAGAAGATGACTGATAATAATTAAGAAGATCTAAGTAAATGGTGGGAAATGCCATATTACTGAATCAGAAGACTCGATATTTTAAGAGGGGCAATTCTCTTCAAATGGATCTTCAGATGAAACAGAGTTCCAATCAAAATTCCAAAGGGCTTATTTGTAGAAATTGACAAGACGATTATAATATTTGCAAGTAGATGTAAAGAATCTAATCCAGTTTTTTTAAAAAAGAACAAAGTCGGAGGACGTCTATCTGATGTCAATATTTTCTATAAAACTACTTAATTGTCACCCTAGGATACTATTTTTTATTGATTTTTAGAGAAAGGAAAAGAGACAGACAGAGAGAGAGAGAGAAACATCAATGTGAGAGAGAAACACAGATGGTTGCCTCCCATATGCTTCCTGACAGGGGATAGAACCTGCGACACAGGTATGTGCTCTGACCAGGAATGGAACCCACCAGCTTTTGGTGTATGGATGATGCTCCAACTTACTGAGCCACCGGATCAGAACCCCATAAAATTACTTTAATAGAAACAGTTTGTTAATAGTGAAAAAAAAATATATGACATTTATAATACACATACAGAGCAAGAGTCATTTCATTTTCAATAAACAAAAATGAATTCAATCGAGAAAGAAAAATCTCTTTAGCAAATATGCTGTTAGATTAATTGGATACCCATATGAAAACAAATATCAATGTTCATGTCACACCATGCTAAAAAATTATCTCAAAGTGAATAATAAACATAATTATCAAACCTACAAATATAAAGCTAGTAGAAAAGATGGAAGTGTGATTAAAATATTTGTGAACTTCAGGTAGGCAAATATTTCTTAGATATAACACAAAAACAAATCATGGGAAAAAAACAACTATGAAGTATACTGTATGAAATTACAGACTTTTGATCCACAAAAGATACTACCAAAATAAAGAAATAAACAAAAGGTAAGCCACAGACTAGGATAAAGTATTTACGACACATGTAATAGACAAAGGAATTCTACCCACAATAGATGTTTCTTTTTTTTTTTTTTTTTTTTAAATAGGGAGGAATGGAGGGAGGGAGGGAGGAAGAGACATTGATTGGTTACCTCCTGCATGTCTCCAACCAGGGCCAGGGATCAAATCAAAACTGAGGTATGTGCCCTTGACCAGAATTGAACCTGTGACTCTTTGGTCTGAGGGCTGATGCTCTAAGCACTGAGAAAAACTGGCCAGGGCTGTTTCTTAAAACTCAATATAGAAAGACAAATAGCCCTATTATATATTACAAGGGGATATATAAGAAAGTCTAACAAGCACATTAAAATATGCTCAGGATTATTAACCATCAAGAAAATACAAGTTAAAATCACAATGAGATACAACTAAACACCCATTAGACTGGCTAGAATTTTAAGAATGACCATACTAAGTAATGGTTGAAATAACTGGAAATCTCATACATTTTTCTTATGACTCAGATATTCTTATACTAGGAATTTCTTTCTTAAAATGACAAACATTTACCTACCATAGGAGTCAGCCATTCTGCTGATAAGAATTTGAGAGAAATATAAACTTATGGCTAATAAATGTTTTAACTCTAAGACATTAATTTCTGTAATAGCTGATGAGGGAAGGGGACAAAATATCCACCAGAAGGTGAATGATAAATAAATAGTGGTCTTTTCATGCAATAGAAGACTACTCTGCAATAGAAGACTACTCTGCAATAGAAGACTACTCTGCAATAGAAACATATTTGCAAAATATGAAAATATTTTAGAAATCTGCATCTAAATGAAAAAAGCCAGCTTACCATCCTCCCCCCAAAACAAACGATACTGAACAATTCTGGTTACATAATATAGAAGATCAAGTTAATATATACTAACACAAAGTAGATCAATAGCTGCCTAGAGACAAGTAGAGGGGGAATAGATTAATGGGGGGATGAGAAAACTTGGAAAGGATAGAAAATTTATTATTGTGGTTGTGGGGATGATTTCATGGGCATGTATACATGTGCACCAAATGGTCATATAATACTCGTTCAACTTGTGCAATTTTTCTTCAATTAC